ATCTGGCAAAGCAAGATTTGTGGTAGATTACTCAACAAAAACACCATATTTCTACTGTATATCCTTTTCAACTGAAGATAAACAGATTGCGGCCATGATAACTTTCCAGGTTTTAGAATATGTCCTCATAATATTCTGTGTAGTAATTTGGTTTCTGATTAACCTTCAAACTCATGGAACTCAAACCTCTAATTATCATTTAGTAAACTCCCACCCCACTGGTACCTGAAACACAGCACCCACCCCACCAATACACGCTCTTTAGGTTGTTTTAACGCAGGGTGTGCTTATCATAGAAAGAAGTAAACAAACTACAAAGTCAGTGACTACAAAGCTGTGACTTGGTTGGAATCAAAAAAGTAATTTGTGACTTCCAGCTCCAGATTGACTTTAGCTGTAGTTTTTCTGTTGGAAAAGAACTGTTGGAAAAGTCTATGCACATACTCATAGAACTGGAGTTACATCCAGGTAACTACTAGTTTTTGATTCAGTGTAACAAAATAAACCAAGACAATATCCAGTTCCATGTAGTCACAGATTTGTAAATATGGGTGGCCCCGACAGGAGTCAGACCCCTAACTTCCACCGCAAATTGTGATACTGTACATGGAACCACTCCGCTGAGAACCAAGTCAGCACTTCTTAGCTGCGAGACAAAATCCCAATGATCTGTGTATGTGTTCTGTACATCTAGATAAAAATTCCTGTGTGCAGAGTTTCCAGTTTGTGTGTGATCCACTTGTTAAAATGATCATCCAGGTCTTAGCAGCAGCCTCATTTCCCTCCAGGGACAAGGAGCTTTAGGGCCCCATCTATAACCTCAAGTGTCCTCCTCAAGATTCAGCCAACCCAGTGGGACAAATCCCAGGCTTAATGCTCTCCACATAAAACAAACCCATGTTCCCAGTGGACAGACCAACAGCACCAGTGAATAATCCTGGTAAACCAGGCTTAGGATGGGTTGCTTCCAGGCATGGTGGGTACTAAATCTCACACGCTATCTGTCACCAGCTTTGAGACTTCTATATTCCTTCTCTCTAATGCAGGCATTGCTTCCTGTCACAAACAGGCAACTTAGATGTGCTCTCAGTCAATCACTGTCTTTTTGCCCACACAGACAGCATTCTTGAAAATATAATTATCCATCAGCCTGCAACAGTGACACAAGAGCACCCTACAACTCCAATTACCCCCCACACTCTGCTTTTAACCTTTTTGTGCTGACCCGTGAGAAGATATGAGGCTGTTTGTACTGTAATGCTAAAGGGGAAAGTCTATTATCACTCCCCCTGATGCCTACTTACTTTTCCCAGTTACTCCCAGCAACCAGCTGTCAGTCACATGTGACTGGCAGAAGAAAGCTTTTATCTGTTTGTATAGCTGAGGGTCTATATGGGTTTCTGCCTTTATGACCAGACATGGTCAAATAATGTCTTTAAGTTGGTAGTTCTGTCGAACATTTAATTGCCTTTTATAGGTGAAGTCTGGTTGTCTAGGACAAAATCTGTCACTCAATCATGTTGTAAAGGTTTTTGTTATCTGTCTGTTCCCATTTAACATTTTACATAATGTATAGCCATTTCAATGTCCATTTGTTGAGTGAAAGCCTTGTATGTAACAGTCAGCTTTTCAGGAGCTTGTTTTTAGGCTGGTGCCAGTCTTGGTTTTGAAAGGGTCTTATCAGTCAAAAATTGTCAAAGGTTCTTTGTAACCTCAGAGGAACACACACACACACACACACACACACACATATATATATAGTTAATTAAATAAAACGAAAAATCAAAATAATTAAAAATTGTTACAGCCTTATCACATGGCTATACCAATTAAGAACAAAAAAACATATGGATAACATATTTTATTTGTTTAACTGTGTAAATGATAAGTATAATAATGAATCAAAGAGATGTTGAGATTGATTACAGAGAATGCAGCTCAATCACACAGCAAGAAGATTAGAAGCTGAACCTGCTCCCATGAATGTCTTCAAGTCTTCACTCTGATATATAACACATGGAGGTTTCCATCAAACTATAGTATCAACCAGGAGATCTTAATATATAACAGGCAGTATATAGTGACTGAATATAACTGACATACTTTAGGTACATTAAAATTATTACAAAAACCTTTTGATTGTGTAAATCATGACTCAGTGCTAACCCATGCCCTATAACAGGTTGCACATATACATATGAAGTATGACAACAATATGGGTTATTGTTTAAATAAAAATTCTTACATAAATAAATTAAGAATATAAAGTCATATTTACCACCCAGAGCATCATGTCACCCACAACCTGACACATCATTTAGGCCATGTTCAGATTGCCAAAGTGACCCAAATCTAATTTTGTTGGTCATATGTAACTCAAATCTGATTTCATAGCACTATGACCAGCACAAATCACATGGAATCTGATCTTTTCAACTCTGATTTGGGCCTCTTTCATATGCGGTCCAAATCAGATACAGGTCTGATTTTTGCAATGTGGCCTCGGTGTCAACAGTCATATCGAAATTCATGTGACTTTTACATCACAGTAGACTGACATTCATGTGACCTTTTCACAGTTGTATGTGATATAGGCCACTAAAGTGAACAGCAAAAAAAAGTATAGCAGTGTGAACGTCGCCTTAATTCGAGAGGAGGATAGGAAATGTCACTGGTTTGATCAGGTCGAGGTTAAAAAATAAAATAAATTTTAAAGTCTACTGTACATTTCATCATGATCTTGTTGTGAAGGTTTTCCTGGAAAAGTTGCAGAAGACGTGACCAGCAGGCTTAAAAATGTCTTATGTAACAAAGACATTCACTGTACAAAATTTTGTTGAAAAACGTTTTGTATGTCTAAGTTACATTTTGTTCTATATGATTATGTTTCGACGTGTGCTTTTAGATTTTCTTCTGTATAAAGCGAATAGGATCTTGTAAGCTCCTGATGAACTATCACTTGAATAAAAGTAGGCCTATTCCTTTGGAATTGATGAAACATGCTTTTTATATTCACATGTAAGTACAGACACTAAGAAAAGAATCCTTTCTCACATAAAATCCTATGTTCTCCTTTTTTCCCCTCTGTTTCCTCAAGGGGAACCTTGGTTTGGTCCTGAAAATGAAGCGGTTTTACACCCTCAAAGGATTTCGAAGGATGACTAAAACCGAGTATGGCAACCCATTCATTGTGACATAGCGTAATGAGTGAGCAAGGGTAATTTATAATTAGGATGACATCAGAATGACGAGGAATGTTGGTAATTAGTAGCTCCTAAAAAGGGAAAGAGGAAGTAACTTGACACACTTTTACTATTACTATTTTCCAGCCAAATTAATTAAAGGTGGAGAGTAACATTTAGGGGGATCTAATGTTAGTTACCTTAAAATGAGCCAATTTTATTTAAGCAAGGAGCGTGTCCTCTTTCATTGAGTTACATAATGTTTCTATAGTAGCACAACACGGACAAACCAGACACTGGCTCTAGATAGGACCTATTGTGTTTTCCGCCAGTTTTGCGGCCACTTTAGTTTCTCCTACACACTTGGAAGGCTGAGCTTTTTTCAAATGGCTGCACCCCCTAGATGACCTGTCAACCATCAATAGTTTATCTGCTGTGTAACATTGATTAGATTGTGTTTTTAAACACTGATTTTGAAAAGTAGAACGTTTCTGAATCAGAGTACAAAATTAAGTCTGAATATTAGTTTGGGCCCTTGGTAACTGATTTAATCTTCTATATTTACCATATCAACTAGTAAACATGCAAAACAGAATTAGAATAAACTGTGAGATTTGTACTTCATCCATGAACTACCAACAATACTGGGCATTGTAATGTCTAATCCCTGTACTAATGTCATCAAGAAAAGTCAAAACATGACTGGACAGTGTATGGTCAATGTGCTAAATTACAGTGTGTGGTGGGGGTGAATATTATTCTTAATGTACTGAAATAGCATATCACATGACATGGTTAAGCTGCGTTTGAGTCAAGAAATGTAATAAATGCTGTTGCAAGAACAATACTTTCCATTCATAACTTAAGATGTTTGATTTGAAAGAGAACTTGTCAGTGAGTGAAACCGCTGTAGAAGCCTCCTGAGGATGTCATTCAGGACTGTTCGCACCTATTCATTTTAAAGAGCAATGACCAATGGGGAATCTCCCCCATCTGGCACCGCTTTGCTGTGGTTAAAAAAAAAATGTTCTGAAATTACCATACTTTTATGACCATAAATCATGATTAGTAAATGCTATTCTGGTTAAATGTTATTACCCTGTAAGGCTGTCACTACAGAAACCGGTTTTGCAGAGAGTAAAATATCTTATTGGCTACTCACCAAAGGCCTGCCAACAGTTATTTCTGGTTTTGCACATACATGTTTATCGAAGCAAGAAACATAATCTTCTGCATATACATTCTTCAACTGCATTTGTGTACAGATATCTTGGGAGGATGAGGCAAACAGTGAGTAAAGTCTTACAAACCAAATTTTTCATGCATGTGCCTATAAAACAAATACATTTCTTCTAGTGCCATAGAAACACAGATCTATTACATCCCTTTTTAGCATTTAGAAATAGCACGTTAAGGAGAACATACAATATACTGTGGGGATGTATGTAAAATACAGAAACAGGCCTGTTCCATGTGTAACTTCATATTAAGTCAGAACTTGCCCTGGGAGGCACCACAAGTCCTGTTTCTGAAGGCTGACCACTTTGAGTGTGAGCAGTTGGAAAACCCCTGTCTGAAGAGCACCTTACTAAAGCTTCTGTTCAGACGCTGCTCACAGTGAGGAAGTGGGTGGCTGAACACACCAAATGGTCAGAGGGAGTGTGTTGAAGTTGTACAGTCCCAGAGTAATACTGAACAAGGCCAAATGATGAAATTACTGACTTACCTCACCATCTGCTGTTGACTTTTAGTATTACAATATAAATGTTAAAAGTTGGGGTTAAAACATGTATGAAATGAATGACTGCAAGAAAGTTGAATGATTTAGCATTTTATTTAATGGTGCATTTGCACAGTTTTGTTACCACACAGGTACAACAAATCATACGGCGTACAGCTAAGTCTGACAGACAGTTACAAGTTCCCACAACCGGATGTTGTGTATTTTGGAAGTTTTAACATCCAGTGACTCTTCATTAAGTTTGAAAAACAGAACTGTCTCTACTGTTTTTCCTTTTTAAAACCCTTACAACTATGTAACTTACCCAATTACCATCCTATGTGACTGTTTTATTCCTTTAACTGAGTTGTATGGTGACTGCACACTAAAATGAAATGCATAGCAGCATCCTATTCACTTGGTTTTATTAAATAGTCTGTAGAGCAAGTTGTGACTCAGAGCAGTGCAGCCCCAAACGCAGTACGTAGGGGGGGGAGTTCTACCACAATAGTCTTCTGTAGTCACTGTCTTGTTCATCTTCCAGCAGTTCTTGAGTTTCTCAGCTCAGCACCTGTCTGTGGTGACGGGCCAGTGGGTGTGTGGGTGGACCTGGCTTCGACGTGGCTTGTTTGCCAACCGCAGCTTCAACAATGTGTGACTGTGTCAACACAAATACCACACTGCCTCTCTCTTCCTCCTCCTTGCTCAATCCCCAAAGCAAGAGGAGACAGCATGGAGGCCCAGTCAGTGGATTTATTGTCGTCCTTTAGCATGTTTACTGTGATTTTCCGCCTGGAGAGGGAAGAAAGCAAGTTAAAAGTTTGAAATATACCTGGAGCTGTTTCTCATGGCGAGATGGGGCCCGTAGCAAGGATTTAAAAAATACTCAGATCAAGAGCCCAAGTCTTATCCTAAATACTGTTACAAAGCCTTTCCCTCAATATCAGGAATATAATTTTGGTGGAGAAACAGTCTAAGGATTTTTGATCTAAAAATATCTGAACCTGGCTCAAAAATTAAATAAAAAAAATAATAATCAAATTATAGAATATAAATGCCCTCTCAGCGAAATTCCCTGAAAAAGTGTCAAGGTCATGATCTTGGCATCTTCAATGGTAGCTACAGGGTCCTCTGACGGCAATAGTTGTTGCTTTTAAATATGCTTTATAAATAAATTGACTTGACTTGAGATGCAACAGCCGAGAGGGTACTGACCATTTGCCATTTGTATAGTATTGCTGAATGTAATGTTGATGTTTTCAGCATTTGAGAGTGCCGAGGAAAAAGTCAAAGGTTCTGTGACTGTTTGAAGCTCCCACCTGCAGCCTGTCAGCTGAACAATTTCTTTAATTCAGAGAAGAAGCCTCCTCCTTCCTGCTGCTGCTGCTGCTTGTCCTGTCCCTCCTCTGAGCTGGTCGACTTCGCACCAGAACCTGAAGTGCTGCTGCCCCCTTCTGGACACAAACACACACTGCATCAGCTCAACTACTAACACCTTTGCTGTGCACAGGGACTAACTGACTATCTGTGTCTACACATACTAGGGTGGAAAGCCTATTCGACTGAATGGTGGAGCTGAACTAACCCTGACCTGCAGAACGATTGACACCGTTGACAGTCCCCTGAACGTCTGTCTCCTCTTCGGCATAAGACAGCAGCAGAGAGCGCTGTCTTCGAGTCAACTTCCTGCAGGAACAAGAGACCAAGAACACAAAATAATGAATGAATAATGAAATTGCCAAAATAGGTAGACTTGTCATATTAATCAAACACTTGGCTTACTGACTGCTCTGACTTTTTACATTTATAGCATATCTATGTGAGTCTTACTTTGGCACTCTGATTTTGATGTGAACGTAGTGATCTCCATAGCTGTAGCTGTTCATCCTCCGAATGCCTTTCCCCTGCAGCCGGATCAACTGATCAGCCTGGCAGCTAGCAGGAATCTGAAAGCACAGATGACTTTGAAACAGAGAACAGACAACAGAAAATTGCTCTACTGAAACTCTGTGTAAGGAAATGTGTATGGAGACTACGTAGTGCTTGGTAGATGCATCCAGAAACCATACATTTAAGCATCAGCACTGCAAACTAAACTGCACATTGCTGAGTTAAGTACAGTGCATGATTAAATTCACTTCACTAAACCTCAGAAAGTACATTCCTTCAGGTACATTTAATGAAAGGAAACTGGTCCTAATTTAGCAGTTGAATGAACATCACATTATGACCATATTGTTACAGAAAAAGACCCACAGCCTCTAAATGAGCATAATAATTCTGAGGGTAGAATATGGGAGTGATGCTGTATATTCTCCATATGGTGCAGCCCTCCTTCTTTCTTACCAATATACTGATGGTTTCATGGAGGCCCTGTGCTGTGGCTGTGCCCCCCAGGACGGCCTGAGCTATAGAGATAAACACATCAGAGTGGATGTTTACTCCATCGCGTCTGAACACTGGGCTTCCCTGGACCTGCACAAAGACATTTCAGATGTAACACATAAACCTCCAATAGACCAAATCACTGTGAGGTCGCGCTAACAACAGCCACTCCCGGGTAGACAACTGGCAGTTGATTAGAATAGTGCATAGATGCAAAATCTGCATTTTTTCTGACATCATTTTCAAGCACTGAAAGTCACTGTTAAGATATATAGTTAAATGCGCTGGTCCTACATTTCTGCTGTGATTATTTTATGTACTGTGCTGCTTTGCTATTGTCTTTGATAAATCAGAAGACATCCAACTGCCGGTGGGACGCCCAGCTAAACTATCATACTCTCCCATTTGTGTCCTCGCTTGGTGTATTTCGTGTACCCAGTTACAACGGATGTCTGGCTTGTATGCTGCAAAATAACAATACCAATAGTTTGTGAAAGTGTTATAAATGAGATATGGAAGCATAAAACATGCATTTTAGATAAATTGATGTGTTTGAAATAACATGAAAATAGTCAACGTGTTGCTGCCATTACATTGTATGTTGGCTACCCAGAAGTGATTGGATCTATGTTACTCCAGTACATCGCTAGAATTCAATGACTTCTTAAATTCAAAAACTCACCCTGAATGTAATGAGGATTTCTCTGTTCCCTACTGCCATGCGCACTGTCTGACCATCGTCCACTCCTGTAAGAAAATGTCACAAGAATTATTATTTTTGCCTACATGCATAGACATAATCACACATTGAGTCACAGAGACTAGAGACTCTTAAACCCTCCTTGTATAAATATGCATTAGATTATGCACTGCTGTTAGTTTTTCCATTTTATTTATTTTTATATAAATTATAAGTATCTACTTAGTAGTATCCAGCCATTTTGTACATATTCTCTCACTCTTTATATTTGTTTATAGAGGCTCCTTTTTATTGTCTCTATTTTTTATCTTTATTTATATTTTCCTAAACTTCATATTGAG